GTTGAGAGCTCAGCAGACAGTTAGGTTTCACTTTCACTTTGACCCGAGAGCCTGCAGGAGTCATGGGTGGGGAGGGGGTGTGCTCTGCCATGAGGAAGTTCAGCTTAAAGACACGTCCCAGAGGTGTTTCTGGTACCTAAAGGTGTTTCTGGTCCCCACCTGTCGTTTTGCTCCTCAGCATGACTTCATTAAAACACTGCAGGATTTCTCAAACATGCATGAATGAGTCAGAGCAAGGCTTTGGACATGTTTTTTTATGAGAGTATAACATTATAACATGAGATAAAACTCAAAAAAGTTGGTTTTACATGATATTGCCCCTTTAATCAAAGTTGAGTTGGTCCTCTGGACGTTTTGTCTCTTCTCCAGGAAACTTCTTCAATCTGATTTTTCTACCTGGATAAATCCTTTGTGTTCAGGTTCTTTACTTACTTCAAAGGAATGGAAGTGACTGATAACTGCATGGTGAACATCTATCCGATTGGTGAGGACTTCTACGCCGTCACAGAAAGCAACTTCATCACCAAGGTTGATCCAGATTCTCTAGAAACATTGAAGAAGGTGGGCTGATTGGTTTGAATTTATTTACCTTTGTGTTCAGGAGGGTGGGATAGGCAGTCTTTTTCTTTTGAAGACTAAGTCGTAGAGGTCATCCAGACAAGCTGTTAAAGACTTTGACGAATTAATCTTCAAAAAGAAATAGAAGACTGTTCATTGCACTTATCATATGAGTGGTGATTATTCGGTTTCATCTTTCGACCTTCAGGTGGACCTGTGTAAGTACCTCTCAGTGAATGGGGTCACTGCCCACCCCCACATTGAAGCAGATGGTACAGTCTACAATATTGGGAACTGTTTTGGCAAGAACATGAGTCTGGTGTACAACATCGTAAAGATTCCTCCTGCGCAGGAAGGTGAGTTCCATCAGATAACAGAGTGTGAGTGTGGACCCACTACGGAAACAGAGAGTGGACATTTTCCACAGATAATTTTTTTCCATGGTTTCCAGTCAACATATTGTCGTTATCATGAAATAACGTCTGTGTCTTAATTCATGGGCTGCATCCTCATGAGTGCGCATTTGTCGGCTGCATATATCACTGCCCCACGCCGAGTGCCGTCCTTATTCAGAGGCTCCTCCTCATGCGGCCTACAAAATCTTGAAATTCAAGGATGCGTCCGCATATCCTTCCTGGCCAAGGATATCCCAGAATTCAATGCAGCAAACTAAACAGAGAAACAAAGATGGTGGAGTTTTTTTTTTTTTTTACCAAGTTGGCGTAGTTTGGAAATTCATTACAAACCAAATAATTTGTTTTTAAATGTAGGTTTAGCAACTTGGCTGATGAAATTTATGCTGCAATAAGATGTTAAATAAAAGGCAACTGCATGTACTGATACGGGAGCTAAACACAATTTACAGTATGTATGTTTTATTTTTATTTATTTACGTGTAATGATTTAATTCTGAAAAACCGTGTGAATACATTTTAACACATTTTAAGTCTGATATGAAACTGATCTCTCTGAGGTAGAGCGTGCTCACGCAAACTTGCAACAAGCGAAGGCTAGACCGTCTCATTTCACAGCAGTTTCATGCAGCCTACCCAGACTCGGATCACGGTTATTTGTGTCATTATCAAGAAATAACGATGAGCGATTTCTCGAGATAAGGAGTTATGGTTTTCCTTTTGTGTATCATTCAGTAACCGTTGATTAAGTTTATTATATCAGCAGGATCACTTAAGTGGCCAGCCATCTCCTTAAATGACGAGGGCTGATATGGAAGTTATCTGTACAAGACAAACTACAATTGCAGCCTGGGTTATGATAATAAACTTCATCTGTGACCAGCTGACGGGACCAGACCATCTCCATTGATACACAAGAGGAAAATCATAACTCGTTATCTCGAGAAAATGCTCAGTTATTTGGGGAAAACCAAGGAAAAAACTATCAGTGGAAAACGTCCAGTCTCTGCATCCGTAACCCACATTTTAGAATTGTATAGTAATACATTTGGAAAGCTACTGGAGTAAACTCGTTTTCATTTGTTACAGCTTAGGATAACTTCCATGTTTAATTTTAGAACTTGCAAGAAGTGCCTTTAACTCCTCATCTGTCAAAAAAAAAATAATAAGTAGGTCCTCTGGATGGGTTC